ACATTGACTTACAATTATATGGACGTCGGGTCCGCGCTAAAAAGTGTCCGCACTTGTAAGGCGCTAAAATCGTATACAGAGCGCGACACTCCGCTTTAGTCTTCATTTGGTCTACTAACAGCGCGATACTGCGATGACATTACAATTTAAATTTCGAATAGGTTGACTTGGGACATTTTTTTCGTGGTTTTTGTATTAGACCCGTCGTCCATTTATTTGTAAGTCAATGAGTCAATATCAAGATTTTGTAGTGTTTCAAATTAAGAATACATATTCTAAATTTGTCGCCACGACATCGGTTCTGATAGTAATCGAGGCTTACGGCACTTCATTGTTTTTTTTTCTTCCGTGGTTCACACTATGGTCATATCATTATTTCATCGGTCAAATTTATCAGTGTCTGTACGTTAGTCTGTACAAGGTAAAAACAGATTACTTAGAAAAAGACAAAATTCTTTTTATGAAGACAAATTTATTAAATCCAACAAAACCATCCTCTCCCTATAGACGCTAGATAATAATTACTTGATAATAGTAAAAAAAAACGTCTCAAAAGCGTATTTTAGTTACAAGACAGAAACATTTCATCCAAGAGCAAATTAATTTACTTAAGTCATAAAGCTACTCTAGATTAAACAAAATATTTATTAGTTATTAGAAATTTCTGATTTTGACTTGAAAAAAAAAAGAATGAAAAATTGAGAGGTACTTTTATTTTACTGCAGATTTATGTTTTCTATATTTAAGTGTGTAGCGCTGGCCCACGAAGGGGTTGCGTAGTACGACGAATTGAGACGCGGACTTCAGTATAGAAAGGCGTATATTATCAAAAATAGTAAATTTACAGGGTTATGGACCCAACCGTATGGTCTCACTGGCCTCACTGGCGTGAAAGCACACAGTTCAGTGTCAAACCTTAAAGTAGCAGACATAGGATGGAAACGTCTCAAATACTTAAGTGCCGTTCAGTGCCATATAAATGCTACAGCGGTAGAAAGCGTTAACAATTCAAAACATATGAGATGACTTATACTATTGAAGTCAACAAAACGACAGTGCGTTTCAAAGTACAACTAATGCCATCTAGCAGTGGCGCGATGAAACTAATTGCATGTTAAAGTTGTGCTTATTACAAGACAAATGTAGTTTGATTTCATGCTGAAACTAAATTTCTTAAATTATGACTACAAAGAACACACTAACAAACTACAAAGAGATATTACGTATTGTTTTTTTGAAAAAAAAATTATTTTGATGATTACCTACAAGCACAAGTAAAAGTAATCGTTACCGCGTACGCCATTCGGCGACATGTCACGGCGACAACATTGACTATGAAAACGCAACGAAATGTTGCTTTAAAAAAAATACTCTAGAATTTAGAATATTCATCTGAATAGCAAAATACTTCTTTTTTTGTCTAAGAATATATTTTCTTAAAATACACCCAAGAAATCTTGAAACAATTTAAGATTATTTAAATTTGATATAAGAGGTAGAAATTTCTTGATGTAAGCAATGTCCAATTAGTTGATCTTAAAGTGAATGTATTTGTCTAAAAGTTAGAATAAAGTTAAAAGTAAAATTGTATTAGAAAAAGATAAGCTTTTGTAAGGACAATATTTTATTACTTTTAATAAATATTCTTTCAGAATGAGCAAATATTTTGAGAAATTGCTTTTTCTTATCAATAGAATTCCTTTTTTTCTGTGTACATCAAACATTTTTTTCAAGTACATCAAACACCCAATAGCGAATACAAGTAGCCATCTGACGTGCCGCCATCAGACAATAGTGATAGGACATGGAAAGGTCTGTTGCTCCGCAGTATGGCGTAGTCACAGACGAGGGAGGGCGTAGTGTTTCACAGCGTCGCTCTTATTCTTCTACAGTTTACCATTCCCTTCTTAAGACAGTCATTCACAGCTCCCGGTAAAGTAAAACACCGTGATGAAATCTGTTGCAGGTTTTCTTTTATATAATATCAAGGGACTGGACGGGATGAACAAGTCGTGCGCCTGGTGGTAAGCGATACGCCTGTCTACGACAGTTGCAGTGCTACTAAGATCTGAGGGACACTGCCGCTGCGCCCTTCACCCTGAGACACAAATTGACAAGTCCCATGTGTTCCATCTTTACCGTTTAAAACCGGAACACAGTAATGCTCACATAACAGGTAAGGTAGCAGTATTTCACTGGACGAACTCTTAACAGATTCAGATTGGTTAACACGTGATGTCTGGCCTAACGTCTCTCCATAAAAGAGACCCGTTCTCGCTCTAAAATAATGGGTAGATGACGACAATTATTGTTAACGTGTAAATTACACAACTACATTAACAAAAGGTCCTTTTAAGCGGGATAATTCAAGCTTTGCTTTCTGTTTTCTCAGACAGACAGTCTGTTTATTGTGTGAAGCGTTTTTGTTGACTAAACGGGCGAAGTTATGGCCGAGTGGGTGGACGCCACTGCGCCGCACCGCACCGTCCTCACACAAAGCTCTAATCAGCCTTGCCCATTGTTTTCCACACCATCACTAGGACAAACAAAACCCCAACATTTCATTTACATCCCACCGGCTTGTTGGCACACCAAACTCCCGAACGCGACTCGTTCCACCGTTAGAATTATTAATGCCGAAATTGCTAACAGAGCTTGTCGACTTTATTAATGATAATGAGGTAATAAAAGAAACGTAAAATTTGATACGCAGCAATAATAAATGTCCGCTAATTAGTGGAATGGAACGCAGGCCGCGTCTCGCACTTAATTGTGAACTTGCATCGAACGCCGTAAACCAGTCTCGAGTACAATTTTGAGCGTCGGCCGATGCGAGCATCTGCGCCCGTTTACGTTTAAACTGGTTGGAATTAATTCAGGAGCTGCCCGCCGTATAAGTAAACGAAACTTCATAAACGTCGGATTACACGAGGCCGTGATAAAATTATAACGCGGTCGGAGTCGCACAGTAAACAGTATTTAATTTCCGTAAGCTCCTCGGCGCCATTAGCCGAAAATAAATAAGCTTCAAGAGGAAGGGCGTGAATTGCCTCTCCCGCCAGGCGGGGCCGCCTCCCCTGCGCCCCCTTTCCCGCGCCCAACGGCCGGATAAATTTGGAAAGTGGCAACAGAAGCGAGCAGATGGTGATTTATTATCGTGTTTTATAATAATTACGGACAGCGCCGGGGGGAGCGGCATTGTGTTCCTGGGTCTCTCTAATGGCGGTCGGAACGTGTGCTCTCGTATTACATTGTGTTCTGTTTTATTTTTCTTGGTAATGACGGACGACCGCATCTTATGGACAGCCATTAAATGTAACCCTCATTAATAAAGCTGTTTGGGAGGGATCCATTGCTAACCCTCCAATATTGATAGGTAATTTCCATTGCAAATTACACTTTCAATCATTGTTCTGAACCACGCGAACAAGTGGAATTATAGTTAAATTATTTGCTTTTGAATATGTAAAATATGGAAATGATCAATGACGAATACATACTTAACAAAGGGGTTCATTCAGTCGGGCTAGCAGACAAACATGATAAACGTGAAGCTTTCGAGGGGGATTATTAATATTCCACTACATTATCTGCCGTTAATAGCGCGCGATATTTACCTACGCCTAATTGGCTACAGCTTTATGCGAATCGTGAACATTGTCATAAAAATAGCAAGCTTAATTTTAAACTTTGAAGGAGACCTGATTATGATTGCCATTAAACAACTAAAAGGTTAAAAGACGACAGGTGCTTATTAAAACGTTCGTTCAGTTTTATCTTTATGAAGGTTTAAATGATTAACATCGTATTTATAGTGTTCTCAAGGATATTTAATACGTTATGATCGATTAAATTCGCTAACTACTCTAACGTTTTTATAGCCTCAGCGCACGATGTTCATGATTGTAGAACATTTTCGTTAGGTACTTTGTAAGATATGATTGTCACCTGACAAATTTAATCAGATGAGCAATTTCTGTTGACTATTATTAAGATTTTTAACGTAGAAATTTGTTATCTAATTACATCTTTTCCGCTAAGGAAATCAAAGCAAAGCATCCGCCATTTACATCGGTACAATTAATTCTTCGAAAGCCATAATTTTACTTGTAAATTTTATACATCTCAAAGCGGTTCGCCGCTTATTTAATTTATTCAAGTACAAATTGTTAGGAGCACGCAAAAGCAAAAGGAAAGTTACACGGAGAAGGAATTTTTCTTACAAATATGTACGACTCTCGTTATATACGTTACATCTGTTTTCTCAAATTTAAACATGTAATTTTTTGTGCAACTTAAATAATGACGCAATTGTTGTAACTTTAGGTCCCTTAATTTAATGTCTAATTATCACACTTCAAGCGAAAACTTTTTCAGTTTTGTAAAACGACGTGTTAAAGTTAATAGTCCAGGGAGTAGAAAGTTAAGAGATTATTTGCTGCAAAAAAAATAGTATAAAGAAACAAAAAAGAGTGAATAAAATGCCTTGGTATTCTATAAACATAATGTGTACCATCGACGGCTGGGCAACTAACAATAGTGACTCAGGAAATTGAATTAAATTGTTACTGAACTGACTGTCGTCGATAAATTTGCACCTGTCATGTTTATAAAATAGGCCGCCGCGTGTTATGCATGTTCAATTTCCATCGGTATAATTCTTCCATCCTTTGAACTTCAAACAGGAATCATAAATAAAATATGCGAGCTATTTTGCCGTATAATCCGACAGACAAAAAGCGAAATTTAAAATGGTAGACCGTTTATTACACGTCTGTTTTATGGATTTTCGAGCAAGATTAATAAGTAAAGTCCACCATTTGAAATCCGATTTTTCATCTGCGAGGGTAATTGAAATTGTATTTCAAAATTTTTAGCATAACACGCTCGGGCACCGGCATTCGTGGCTCGCAGGGCGTTCACTATGTACCAGGCGTGCATAAAGCGTGAGGTGGAATGAGAAGCGCGCTACGGTGCGGCGTGCGCTAGTAACAACTCACCACCTTCCGTTTCGTGCCACACGATGCCCTCCAGCGTGACCGATGTACCAGGCTCGCAGGGCCCCAGACAGTCCGGCTCCGTAATCGTCCCCACCGAAGTACCAACGCATACTTCGGCCGTCTCCTGAAACAAACAAAGAGCTACAATTAGATACTGTTCGCACAAAAATCCAAATATAAAGGAATTGTAATCATTACATAGCATTTTATTTATAAAGTCACCTCTAAAGATAAAAGGCCTTTTATTAAAGACTGTTAACGTCAATAAAATGCCCGAGTCTTTTAAAGACTATAAAGACGAAGATAATCTCAAAACCGTGAAAACATTTGAGTTTCTCGCTCGATTCTCTTAAAAATAAACGTCTTAGCGAGATAAAAAATGAGTATCTCGACTGAGTTTCCCCCACGGCGTGCGCATAAAGAGCACTTGCGTACGATAATATTTTCATAACCGCGACCTAAATCTCAAAATATGTGAATGAATGATCTTGGAGCATGAAAACTCGCAGATTTGCGGTGTTAAACCGCAAAAACGATTTGCTTATGCTTCGCTGTTCTAACATAATTATAGTTTTGTTTAGCTTGTGCCTATGATCGTTTTAAGAACGATTCGAATAAATCATATTATTCTAATTACAGAACTTTTGCACAACATTCTATATACATTTGCCGATTGAGTCGATCTTAGAGGTTTTCTTCTTAATTTTATTTTCCAGAAACATGCATCACACAAACGGAAGTGGGTAATTTTCAGGATAGTCTTATCTACCTAATTTCGGTGGCAATTTTTAGTATTTAAATATTTTAGAATATTATTATTAAGTATTACTTAATGTTCAATATTAGTATCCTGAAATATTATTTAATATTTCACGATAATATACTGGAATACTTAAATAATAAAATTAGGTAGCGAAATTTCCATCGAAATTAGGTAGCGAAAACAAACCTGAAAATTACCCAAATCTTATTTGTTTAAACGTACATACATTATTTTTCTAAGGGCCCGTGTACATCAAAATGTACAGACCACTTGCTAGATGGTCGGACGATACTGTCGGGGTGGCCGAAAGATTGTGGATGAGACTCGCACAGTACCGATTGAGCTGGCGTGCAAGAAAGGAGGTCTATACCCAGCATTGGGTGTTAACGGGCTGAGATGATGATAGTGATTGATCCTATCCATTAGTACAATAACATAATGACAATTTACTTTTATGCATTTTTAGTTGGTTCGATTCCCAGTCCAGGTAAACTTCAAAAATTCTGTGAATGTAGTTCATATTAAGAAAAACAAAAGAACGTTTCCTATAAGTAGAATTAGCTACCTTAAGTACTTCGTTCGTCTTCGTTTTAAAGGTACTTACTTCCCTTTCATGTCTCTTTGATTTACTCCACCTGTATTATTATATGAACATAGGGTATATAGAAAAATATTTTTTTCGTACAAAACTGGGGACCTGAAGCACATTTAGTGCATTTTAAAGTACATTGGGCGTTTAGCACTTTTCCCATTCGAAAAATTAAAACACTTTCGACAAAATAAAGGCATTAAGTCTAATGTTTATATAATAACGTTGATGCAATAACAAATATAATTCATTACTGCAATTGAGAAATTATTTTGATGCGAAGTGTAATAAGCAATATGTAAATTAATGTAATAACGTATAATATAATGTAATATTATTAATTTTTATTACAAAAGCTCACGGTAACGTATAATGTAAAGCAATTTTAGCACACCATAATGGAGTGATATACTGAGAATTTTCCTTAATATAGCAAAATTATTTATAAAAAAAACTATTAACATTTAACGAAGTAGACTTGTATAAACGAGTTATAAGTTGCATGAGTCATATATACGTTTTTTATTACTGTTTTATTTTTAAAATAAAAATACTTTCACACTACGGTCTCCCTCTTTGTTCGGTCCTCCTCTGCCTCAAAGGTTGTCTGAAGGAGATCGCTCTCGGCGATAAGGCCGCCTTTGCCCACGTTAATTTTAAGTTGTCTATGTACTGTTTTTGTTTTTTGTGTGTGAGAAATAAAGTGTATTATCTATCTATCTATCGACTTTGTTTTGAAAATTTTATGAGACATTATACAGTATTAATTTTTTTTTATTGAATTTCACGACGTTATTCATATATTTTTGTATAACCTAACCTCAGTACAGAGTACTAAAAAAAACCGACCTCAAATGTCATTCATTCCCGAGTTTACTACCCTTAGAGATCGAATATTTTATTCAAATTTAAATGGAACCACTACTGAGGTACTCTTTTTCAAACAAAAAATGGCGGAGTTATCGCGTATACATACAAAATAAAAAACATTCAGTCGAATTGAGAACCTCTACATTTTTGAAGTCGGTTAAAAATTAAATTCAAAGATAGAACACAAAGAAAAATTCCTTCGAACAGTAGGACTAGCACGACTAGCACGAAAACGACATAAAACGCTAGATACTCCTATTGTCACATAGATATTTCGCATTTCATGTCGCACCTTGTCGGCTAGCCATACAGACTGGACTTGAACCTACATGACTACGCTGTCCTACGGTACGGCGTCGCTGTACCAACTAAGCTACAGGTCGACGAAATTCTTCTACGTATCTGTTATAGAATATAAGAATATAATACAAAGATATATTGGGTTTTTTCGGTTTTCAACGCCGTTTGAGACTTTGATTATTTAAATTTTTTACTTTCAATTTTACATTCTTTACTTTATATCTGTACAAAAATTTATCCAAAAAATTAATAGACTGTCTGGGAAACCCAAGGACCGGGTTGCCCAATGCATTAGCATGGCCATACAAATGGGGGAACGCTGCTAGCATCTTGGGCACCTTGCCGCGGGGACCCAATTTTATTCATAAATCCTAATTTTACTTTCTAGTATTTAAACTTTTATTGTATCTTACCTCTATATTATGCAAATAAAATTAAGATGGTTGTGGAACAAACTTGTGAGTACAGAAAATTAACGAATTTATTACATTATACAGAGTCAAGACCACAACTACGGTCTAGAGTGTCAAACTTGATGTGCTCCTGACTGTACTCTCAGAAATCTCTTTCGGTGACTGTAAATTAAGAGCTTTAGGGTAATTAATTAAGTTTTTCTAAAGAAATTTAAGCAGTCTCGGGTAATAATTTAGACGACAATAATCAAAAAAGTGGCGTAAAGAACATTGTAAAAAGATTTATGCGGAGTGGTTTTCTACTTCTTTATGAATCTGACGTAACGGATAACATTGAAAAAACAATAAAGAATTTAGAACATAAGTCCATAATTATTAAAAAATAATGTGCCAGACAACCACATCAATACACAACCTCTTAAAACAATATTACTTTAACCTTACATTGACTTTTCGTACCATAACGCGTTTAAAGTAAGCTTATTGTAATGTTAAAACTATGATGTTTTATTGGCAGCTTTGTGACTATTCATTCACTCATTTCGTACTACGACGCGACTTTAACATTAAAGTAATATTGCTCTTATATCAAATTTAACAATCTTAAAATAGTTACACGGATGCAATGGAAACAATATTATTTTCAGTTTTATTGTCTTAATATTGATTTGTAATGATTAAAAGTTGAGTTGAACTTATTTATTTACATATATCTCTTCAATATATTGCTTATTTTTTAATTTATTAGCACTTAGTAAATAATTATTCGTTAAAAAAAATACGCGATGTTTATTTCGTGAAATTATAACAGCGCCATCTATATGCTCCTTGGCGAAATTAATAGTTGACACTAGGCTATAGTTCCGAATTTACAACGTGACTATCAAGACTCAGCTTGTTTTATTTATGTTTCTTCACGAAAATGTGGAATAATTATTGAAAACAACGTAATTTTAATAGATTTTATTATTACATACTTTTCTTTTCTTAATAGTCAAAATTCTCTAAATGTAAATAACATAAGGAACTTAAACACGATAAAACGATTCGGAACATCAAAAAGAAAGATATTGCATTATATAGTTCACATAGCGTTATCTCTTTCCTATTTTTAGTAAGGAATAGACAATATTGAGAAATCATTCGTTCTTTCAATCACTTTTGCAATAATACATTAGGTACTTGGTTGACAGGTTCGTCATGGTACGAATATGAGTAATATATTATTATTAATATTAATTAACGCTTACATTGAAATAAGATTGTTTTTGGAAAGGTTATGGTAGGCCCCCTGGTCTCAAACAATGGAATTCCTGGATTATGAGCACCAGAACAACGTAATTAACTCTGGGGGCATTACCCAGAACATTTAGACCAGAACCAATTTAGAAAAGTTCATTCCCCAAATTGGTCCTTCGGGAATAGAGCCCGGTACCTCCTCATTTAGTACACACAACGCTAACCGCTTGACCACTGAGATCGCCAAATATATTTATTCTAATGTAGTACTATTACGTACATGATCGCTTGGCCATGTTCCCACCTGATGTTAGATTTTATCAGACCATTTGGATTATAAGCACTTATTATGATAATTTCAGTTGTAATTTGAATAAACATAGGTACTATTAACTAAACGTTCACCTGAGGACCGGTTCAAATAACACCACACAAATTTTAGGCCCGATTCAGATGACAAGCGTTATACGCGCGTTGGGTGAGTTTTGGGACAATTATCGACCTTTAACTGTTTTTAGTATATTCCAGTGAGATGCACGACTGGACGTTGTGAACAACGCAGTTGCCTTAGTCAGGTTAATTAAATAATAGCGATTCCATACAAAAATGTGTCTTTAAATACTTAGGAAAGTGTGCTTATAGTGCTAGTAGAAGTCCCAAGTAGTTCAGTTGAGCTATTGAACAAGATGTTATCGCTCCTTTTAAAGACCGAGCAGACATAAGTATAGTTCACATGCAATAACAAAGACGAACACAACCTAGTCTTTATAACAAATGCATTTGTGAATTTTATTAGTAACTTACTCTAAGCACTAATGAAGTCTATTTTTTCAACTCCAATCAACAATCAATCTCTGTTGTTTCAGCTCTCAAAAAATAAAGATAAATACGTTATTTAAAAAAATACACTAGATAAAATTACGATAATTCAAAGATAGCAAATGGTGGTA